ATTTTCGTGTAATTTTTACCTCACGCCATAGACCTTTGTAAATTTTGTAAAAAATTTTTAGATTTGACGGATATCCATCTGTGTCCGTATAACTCCGTAAAGTATCAGTCATATTGAAATTTCAATTATAGATTTCGAAAGTAGAGATTTCAACCTTTAAAATCCTTTTTTAATTTTTTGTCTCCGATGATTTTTCATTGAATTATGGTGTTCTGAATATTGTCCAATTTTTAGGGTGTTTGAAAGTGTTCCCTAGATTTTGTTGAGTAGTGTATATTCATAGAGGTTAGATTATTCCATGCAAATAATTGTTTTCTTAGAATAGTCATTACATTTTTTGACCGAAAATATGGAAACAATGGCTCATACGTCTAACAACAGAATTAAACGAGCAGTGCTATGTGCTACATCAATTATGTTTGTGCCGTACAGTTGATCACGCGAACACTGAAGATAGATATTATCTGTTCAAACAAATAATGTATTTAAGATATACATTGTTTCAAATTTAAACAATCACACTTATTGATTCAAACATTGGTTCGTTTGGACCATTCCAAATAACAAATTTATTTGGATACGATAAAATTTATTACATCCAAAGAAATCTTTTTCTCTGTGTAACCATCTAATTTGTTGCAGCAACCAATCTTTTCTTTCAGTGTGATAAACTCTCTCTCTCTCTCTCTCTCTCTCTCTCTCTCTTTTTCACGAAACACGCCTATTTCCATCAGGCACCGTGCTTCTCGCTTCGTCCACCCGCTCATTCCGAAACGCCGAATTTATTTGTTTGCCACATCCATGTTTCGTCTTTGTTGCGCCGCAGGCGAAACTGGCGGACGGGCCGAATGAATGAAATTACGCGGTGAGAATTAATTGTGCGGGTAAGTCGTTGCCGGGCCGACCGTGCTCGTAATTAAATTAGCACGGCGAAATGTTTCGTGCGTTAAACGATTGTGTAACCGGCACAGCCGGCGGGTGGACGGCGGTGAACCTCGCACTCTTTCGCGGCTTTCGTTGCACACCGCGAACCATCGAATGAAATGTGAACCTTTGTTTTTTTTTATTCCGCGCTGCAGGGAGGGGGTTGTCCATCCGTGTGACAACCGTTCGAAAAAAAAAAGAAAGAGTTCCGCGCGACACGGAACACACGCGCTTCAATGCATTCCGGATTGCGAAACGCGAATGGGGAAAAAAGCGCAATAATATCGCGCCTTTTTTCGCACTGCGATATTCATGCGAGATGTAGCGAAGATTTAAAAAACTCAGGATGCGCGCGATCAACATCGGTATACTCAATTTACGTCGTGCGAACATTTAAACGTCTATTGGAAGAATCTTTAGACCATTAAAGTCCTTGGAGATTTGGAGACGGTTCTCTTTTTGTTAAAGTTTAGTCCCTCGTGACGGTTTTATCTTTATTGTTAAATATCTTGGCAATTAAATTCTAAAAGAAATTTTTGAGTTTGATTAATTGAAAATCGAGGGCTGGATATAACGATTTCCTTTGGTGCGGAAATACTTTCAGTTTAAAGTTTTTAACAAAAATAACAGTCCAGACTCTCGGCAGTTTTTAAAGTTTTCTGAGTCCGAAGAGACCCGAAGTTTTTAAACAATTGATCAACATTAAGATTAATGGGATACAAAATAAACGTATCAAAATTTCCTTTCAAATTTCTCATGCAGATATCTCTTTTATTTTTCCTTAAAAAATTTTTATTTTTTTTGAATGACTTAAACATTATTTTTCTTTAAGGAATTCTCTTTTAGAGGTAATGTCCTGTTTTCTTCCAAGTCCGTGCGGGACTTGTTATTAAATTCCATTATTAATTGTATTTATTCGCGTTTCTGTTTGCAGGGAGAAAGATCAAATAATCGGTTCCTATTTGGAAATCGGGGACGTCACTCTCGAGGATTATGGCGAATACAAATGCGAAGTCAGCAACGGCGTCGACAAGGAGATGACATTGGCTGCTCACGTGTACCGGCAAGGTCCGAAAAACCACCCGAAATCACTCATCAGTTCATCTCTATCGTTGTAAAACTACGACTTTGAGTGAAAACAGAATAGAATATTGTTACATTGATTTGTTTTATCTCAACATTAATTCAATATTTTACTTTTTGTGTTACGTATCATTGAACGTTAATTTTCGGAGTTTTTAATCCAGCAGTTACTATTTTATTTTTGAATTTAATTCTATATCAAAATCCTGAAAGCTTTTCATACGAATCAGATTTGAAATACACCGGATTAAATAATTCAGCTTGTTTACCGGCTGCAATTGTTAATTATGACTTGACGCAAAACACATTCAATCAGTCTGAATGCTTTATTGTTTGCGTATAAAAACAGGTCTGTGTCGGATTCATTTTAATAATTAGTGGAAATGTCCGGGAAACATATCAGCCAACTAGCAAACCGCGCGTGCCGACGATTCACTTTATCGGTTTTAATTATTATACAACACATTAGTTTCTTGGACAAATTGTTACAAAACCACGATAAAATCTTGTTTTTAAATTGGACTCATTGACAGATTTAATTCATCATAAAATTTAATATCGCGTACATTTATACTCTATTATTGCTACCTGATATTATTTTGCGATAAAAAGAAAGCAATATCTCTTTTATCTTTTGCACGATAGTCTATTTGTATTTTTTTTTATCAAGTTAAAACATTTTGGGATTAAACCCTTTTATTAGGATTTATTTAATCAAACGTTTCCAATGTTCTCAAAAATAATTTCAATTTATTTTAGTTTGAATATACATATATTTATTTTTTTATTCATTTTAAACTGTCCTTTTATATCAAGATTTATTGATAATTATACAGATTACGGAAATACTTCGATAACCTTAACATATGTTGTCAAGATCATAATACTGAGTAACTTTGTCTACAACTAGATATCGGTCTCTTATACAGGATTATTACAAATTCTTCAAATTCCATAACTTTTCCCTGATTTTCAGATAAAATTTCATGACTTTCTCTCAAGCTTTCAATAATATTTCGAAATTTCTTGCATTTTCGTGATTTAAAAGCTGTCATATCTATCTTTTATTAAAAGAGTAATTTAACTTAGCAATGTAAATTACCATTAATGTTGCTGACACTGCTTGCATTTAATTGTTAAATTGATAGTATTTCAAAACTGTGTAAAATGCGTGTATAATCTACAGATACCTATATTAAACTTCTTTAAAGCTAAAAATTTTAGTTTTCCAGAAAATTTTGCAAAATTCTTTGACTTAAAAATTTCTCCTGATTTCCCTATTTTCAATTTCCCTAATATTCCCGGATTTCTAGCTTTGTAGCAACTTTGTCATAATTTCTGAGATATTTAAAATTAATATATAATTTTAATAGTAAATCATCATCTCAGAGGACAAACTCCGATGATCTCGATCTTAATACGTGTCATCAAGGTCATCTGCAATGATTGACTTTCGGTCGATTTTCGTTTCATTATTTATTCACAAATGTTATTAATAAAATAAATATCATTACATTTAGAAAGTAAACACAGTAAGTTGTAAATCCATATGAACTTTACTTCGCGCTGTAAAGTGTATGCGTGGACGCAATGGATCCCACCTTCCCTACGGGGGCGGCTTCGCTACCAAAACCCTAAACACATAGGTTTAGGTTGAACCTCGCCTCGAGTGGAAAGTTGTAAATCCATGTGAAACCTCACTTCGTGTGGGTTTACAATTTTCCACGCGAAACGAGGTTCAACTCACACCTATGTGTCCAGTAAATCGGTAATGCAGCCTCCTCGTGGAGGAGGACGGAACCCGCTGCGTCCATGCATACACTTTATTGATGACACATAAATAACGTCAATTTTATGTAAGGATTAGAGTTTTATGTTTGTGTTGTTACCATTTTGTAATAAAGTTTTTCTAATGGTACATTTTAGGTTTAATCTATAGAGCGAAGTATTCGAAGAGAATAACTAGATGGAGAACTAATAGATTGCTTTCTTGGAAGTCACGAAATCGTGATAAAACTCGGAATTTTCAGGCCTGTCTTCGGTGACACAAAAACTCTTACATTTTTTATAAATTTTGTATTACAAATTAATTTTTTACATTTTATATATGATAATAATGAGTAACTAAATGGAGAACTGTATTCATTTATCTATTTCTCTTCCTAAAATAAATTTATAAATTTTGTTTTTTGTTTAAGCATAAAAACTCCAAATTATCTCTTTCGAATCACGTCACCTTCTTTTTATATTTACACACACAGTCGCATGTTTTTATTATTATACTTTGTTTTTCATACAACATCTCGACATTTCTTTCTTTGATTCACAGAGCCACAGTTCGTATTGAGCCTTCCGAATGGATCTTGGCGGAAGTCTCTTCTGCTGGCAGTCCTCGTTCTCGTGCTGTTACTATCAGCTGGCGCATTTTACGCGCGTTGCTGGCTGCCACTTGCACTGTTTTGCAGAGACAAGTTCGGTCGCCTCGAGGAAAGCGGTGAGTTCACAAATCATAAATAACTCCGCCCCACTCAGCGATTGCAGTAAGAAATTACCCTCGAGCTGCGGATATCTTAGATTTCCGTGGAAATTTGAAGATCGAAGCTTGAAGATCTGTAAATCCCAGAACTCCACTCGTACTTCCCAAGAGTTTAAAGATTCCATAAAGTCAAGGACGTTGGCGTTCAACTTCTCAAACTCGAGCTTGATCCTTTCTTAGCCTCGTGAGAATTCTCATTTTATTCCCGTGAGTGTTCTAAGACGCGAGGAGCCTTACGATTTAAAAATAAAAATACACTTTCACGGAACAGAGAAATTCACCGACCCGAAATTCCCGAAAGTCTTCCGGGAAGCGCCAAGGACCAGAATTTAATTTTGTCCGTCTAAGATTTTACGTACCGTAGACTTACGTTCCCAAGCTTTCCTATAATTTAGAGGTCCTTAAAACGAAATCTCGTTGTCTAAAAACAAGGATACGGTTTGACATAAAATTCGAAGTCGCATGGATCGCCAGGATTTTTCCCTAATCCCAAGACTAAGGGGATCACATAGGTTTAGGTTGAACCTCGCCTCGAGTGGAAAGTTGTAAATCCATGTGAAACCTCACTTCGTGTGGGTTTACAATTTTCCACGCGAAACGAGGTTCAACTCACACCTATGTGTCCAGTAAATCGGTAATGCAGCCTCCTCGTGGAGGAGGACGGAACCCGCTGCGTCCATGCATACACTTTATTGATGACACATAAATAACGTCAATTTTATGTAAGGATTAGAGTTTTATGTTTGTGTTGTTACCATTTTGTAATAAAGTTTTTCTAATGGTACATTTTAGGTTTAATCTATAGAGCGAAGTATTCGAAGAGAATAACTAGATGGAGAACTAATAGATTGCTTTCTTGGAAGTCACGAAATCGTGATAAAACTCGGAATTTTTAGTAAAACTCGGACTTATGTATTGCAAATTGAAAAAGGTGAGTTTTTTATGGAATTGCTTATCTTAAAAGTGCACGAGACCCGGGAGGATAATCTTGTAGCTGAGAAAACGCAATGGCCTTTGTTTCGCGGCTGTATAATTTCAGCGTGCCGTCTCTAACACACACATACACACACACCAACAGAATGAGAATAAGAAATGAAATCATAATAACGAATTCATAAAAATTCGTCTAAAGACAAAAGTAGGAGAGAATTGAAAATCCCAATTCTGGAAAATCGAATTACAGCTGTTGGTTTTTCCCGTTGGATAATCTTAAGGTCGTAGAATTTTAGATTTCATGGAGTTACGAAGTCGTGATTCCGAACCTGATTCTGATTTTTTTCAAAGCAGCCAATGAGAATTCCACGAGACAGGAATCCAGGATCGAGGATTTTCCAAGAAAAATCTTTCGAAGGTAGAAAATTCCACCGAATTCTAATCCTTTTAAGAGCAAGGAAGGAAATGGGAGAAGATGGGAGGAAAAGGAAAATTTTCGCAGACACAAAAGACGACGGCGATGTCGTTTTATTCCTGCAAGGACATTCTACAGCAGAAGAGCTCGCGTAAATAGGAGCCTCGATCTAGTTGAGGCTTAATGAGCTGCGTCCTCCCGTCTTTTTCTCCTTTTTTTTTGGCCCCATCCTTCCGTGCCCTCCTTCTCCTTTTTACTCACCTAACCGATCGCACTTTAATTCTTTCCGCCCTTTCGCAATTTACTTAAGTAACGCTAATTCCGCCGGGGGCAGGAACTTTCAAAGGATTTTACGCGGTCTCTTCTCTCTCTCTCGGTACCGCCGTTACCAGGGCACTTCAATATTTCAGACACGCTGTAATATGAACGGTAAAACGATGTAACTCGTTACACCGAGGTTCTCTCTTTGCATATTACGTTTAACAATTATGGTGGGATTATTACTAGCGTTTAACCGTGCCTCGCGATTAAAAATGATGGAGGTAGAGTATTAGTTCCTGTCCTTTAAGATTGAAAACAGTAGGAATAAACACGTAAAAGCGTATTTATTCACTGAAGAAGCATATAATAAAGCTCGTTTAAATTCTGCAATTACGATAGTGTTACATTACCATGTCATATGTTCGAAATTTATGGGGAAAAAATGTTTAACAGTTTTCAGTAGAAAAATTAAATGTCGCAAGTTATTGGTTTAACAATTATGATGGGATTGTTATTGACTTTAATCATGCTTTAAAAATAATGAGGTAGATGAGATTTACTTCTTGTCGTCCCAGAATGAAAGCAATAAGGATAAATGCGCATAATAGGAAGAACAGTTTGGTTAAATTATCTAAAAATTTAACTAGGTACAGAATCTGAAAATAATTTTATCCAATCATCAAAATAATTATGAAGGACGGTAATATTTGATTGCTAAAATATTAGAACTTTTTGCAACCTTACTCATTGTGCTTGAGTTTTTTACATAATTAATTTGATGGTTCAATAAAATTATATTCAGATCTGTTATATTCATCTAAATTTTTCGATACTTCTGCAAAATCGTTCTTTCCATGTAGCAACGTATTTATTCGTGGAAAGAATGTCTATAGTGCGTCCAAATTCTGCACCAGTTATGATAAAATGCCATGTTAATAATTTATCATTTTAAATTTCTAGAAAAATTTTTAATACAGTTTTCAAAATTCCGAGGAACCTGTGAAAAAATCGAGAAGTCTCGCAAGAGACTTATGTCTTTGCATATTAGTTTAACAATTACAATAGGATTATTACTGACATTTAATCATGCTTTAATTAAAAATATTGAGGTAGAAGAGATTCAATCCCTGTTTTTTCAACATGAAAATAGTAGGAAGCAATGCATGGAAACGTATTTAAACACGGAGAGAATACATAGTACGTCAAATTCTGCCAGTTATAAAATGTTTTATTAATCATTTGTTCTTATATCATTCGAAATTTGTGGAAAATATTTTTCACACAGTTTTTAGAACTCTGGACTGAAAAAAATCGAGTCACGCGCAAGGATCATTCTCTCTTTTGATATTAGTTCAACAATTACGACAGAGTTATTATTGACGCTTAATGATACTTCACGATTAAAAATGATGAGGTAAAAAATATTTAGACTTTGTCCTTTTAGTTAATAAACAAAAATAAATGTGTAAAAATATATTTATTCACTGAGGAATAGACATTTAAAGCATGTTTTAGATATTCTACAGTTATGATAAAATACCATATTAATTACATTGCTACACATTGTTGTAAATTCGTAGAAAAAATTATTTTATAGTTTTTAGAATCTCTGACTACATCTTTAGAAAAATCAAAGTTTCACGAAATTTCATTTCGGTTTTTTTTATAAATCTACAAAGGACTCCGCAGTTTTCTTATGGGAAAGTACTTTCGGTCAAAATGGCTGAAAATTTTGTATGTGATAGTTTATGATGTCCTGATCGAAAGTCTCAATGGGCACATGGTCCTAAAATCAACAGGTTCTGAGATATTGGAGCTCAAAGGTCGATATGGCCTCATATCGATTATTATGAAAAGTAACATGTTGCTACATTGCTTTTTAATGTACAGTATAAATATTTCATTGGTATATAAAAAACATGAAAAATGCTAAATTCAAAATATTATAAATATTATGTAATATTTTTTCTTTCGACTATCTGCAAAGTTTTGCACGTGTCTGCTAAAAACTGTTATAATGTCTAATAAATTATAGTTAAGCTGCTATAAATATAAAAAAAAATGGTTGGTTTACCGACTATAAGAAAAGTATGTACTATTACATGGACAAGTGCAAAAATCACGCGATTTACATGGAGAAAAATAATTGAGAGATGGATACTTTACACAAGACTAGTAAAAATATTCTGGCTATTTTTACCGAATTTCTGATAAATTTTATTTGCCTGAAAGTAAAAATACCGGAGATTTAAGATAAGAAGTACGTTATGATTATAGTACATCATTTCAAGTGACTATATTATTTTATAATAAGATAAATTATACTTTCAGTAAAGTAAATTATACTTACAATAAAGTAAATCGTACTATTTTCGAGATTGACAACCACAAACAACTCTCAGAACTTTTATACATATATAGATTTTACTATGCAGTAAAGTAAATTTTGTCAATGCTAAAGAAAAAATGTTTGTCGATAAAGTAAAAATGATTATCATACGACAATCTCATTTACCAGAAATGTAAAGAAAATTTTACATAAGTAGGCACGTATC